AGAGGCAGAAGCCACTTCTTCCCCCTCACACACAAATTCCTCTGCTTTCATTACTTTTTTCTTCCAGTTCAATGATTGCTGGCCTTTGTCTCGTGGTCTGGCAGAGCCTGGTGCCACACACACCAGAGAAACAAAGAAATAGACTGGCTTTTCTCCCTGAGCCTGCTATGAAGAGGCCACATTGTGTTTTACTGGGGAGAAGGAGACAGGCAGAGGGTTGAAGCTTGGCCTTGGGCTCTGTAAAACCCTCTGTTTCTTTAAACACATCAGCCCAAAACTCTGGCAAGGAAACTGTGACCCTGAGGAAAGGAGCCCCAAGGTTACAGCCTCTTGCTCAAAGATCAGGACCATGGATTTTAAAATAATGGAAGCAGCTCTTTGGCCAGCACTAAAAGCACAGCCAGCTCTCAGCCCCACACCTATACCCAGACCTCTTGGACTTTCACAGGGCGGGTCAGGGATGACCCAGGCTAGGAGAGCAGTGTTTGCTAGGGTATGAACCTGGGAAAGGACTGGGAAAGTAGCCTGGAGCTGCTTATTAGCAGAGGCAGGAAAGGGACAAGGTTTCTGGTGTTCACACCTGATCCTGCTGTTCCTTCCCACCCTATCAGCCAGTGCAGCAGATCATGCCAGATCATTCCCTGTAAAATATAGAAGTTAGAATGATTTGGGGTGACATGGACAGTAAGAATAAGCAGGAAAGGTAATTTCAAGACTGTTCAGGTTTTGAGCTGCCAAATGCTAATTTTTCTGTTCCATTTCAAGAAAAGTCCACTTTCAAGAATGACATCAGAAAATGGTTTAGCGAAGTCAAGCTAGGACCTTGTCTCTGACTAGAAATGGTGTGCTTTGATGCATTTCTTGGCTAATGACTGAGCTAAGAGATCTACCAGATCAAACTGCTATCGATGAAGAAAAATACTGTTTCCTTCCTGCTGACAGAGTTCCATGTATAGCCAGCTCTTAAGTGAATACAAATATTGAATATTGAAAAATTGAAAAAAAAAAAGAATATTGCAAGACTGTTGACAAACTGTATCTCCACAGTAGAAATACCACTGCCTAAAAGTGTGCCTCCTATACCTGCCAGTCCAATGAGAGCACAGATAACTGCTGCAGTTTGCAATGCCATAAAGATGAGAATTTCAGTGTCTATATTTAGAGTCAATATACTAAAGCTTAACACTGGGGAAACTATTTTTCCCCAAACGAATGTTTGAAGCTGTTACAAAAGCTTTCAAGACCTGATGTAAGGAAATTATCATTGTGGGTGGGTTTCTTTCACGCTACCATGTGAAAAACTGTAGGTGCAACCATGTTGTAACATGGTAGGTGTTGTCTCAGTGACTGCATTCATGGTAGCTTTGGGGAACACAGGCACTGCCAGGGATTGTGTTTGCCCAGCAACCCAGTCCTGCCTCTTCAAAGGTACATTTTTTAAGAGGTCCAGTCCTTCATCCTTCTCCACAAGTATACGTATAAGGCTCTTATACGCCACACATTTCTCCACAGGAGCTGACCATGGTAATAAAATGACACCTGTGGACTCTGTCATGGGTATTGCTAACCTGTCTTCCTGGTAACAGCAGTGACCTGTTCTTAGTTGCACTGAGTCTGAAATTCAACAAAGCCTAAAGACATAAAGCAAGTATTGATCCTGTGCTGCAGTGACTAAGGTGTAAATGGAAACATGCCACACCAGTAATAGCAGATAGCTTCACCTTTGCATCATCCCATCTAATTCTTGGGAAATGGCGTGGCTAGGCAATGAAGCACAGCAAAAACCTGCTTTCTTCAGCATATTTTCTGTGTTTATCAACCACCCACTTATACTGCGCCACCAGGAGCAGTCTGGGAGAGAGATGCTGTTTCCTGCTCTTGCTGCTTGTCACCTGCTCCCCTCCAGATCCTCCTTTCGTGCTGGGCTGCCTGCTGGTCCCTGCAAAGCATCACTTCCATCGGGTCTCTGCACCAGCCTGCAAGGGAGTCTGTGGTGGAAAGGGAAACTTACAGCTCTTGGGTTTAAATAAAAGTGCATTTAATGCCCGCGGTATCTGCTGGGGCTGGCAGAGGACTTCTGAGAATTGCCACCCAAGCAGCTGTGACATGGACAATAGGTACACACAGGCAGGAGGTTCCTGTTGCCCCCCGGAGAAAAGGGTGGTGGTGTTGTAACTGGGCAGGTGACAGCCTTGTGAGAGCACCTTTACAACCCAAAGCCACGTGATGCAGCTTTTTATGAGGCTATGGTGAGGCATGCCTCAGAACCTGGCACTGTCTCACCAGTACGCATCAGGGAGGAGCTGCTGCCAGCTCTGTCCTTCAATCACTTGCAGCTTGATACAATTGCAACTCTCCCGCAAAGGGTCCCACTGTCCCCCAAACTGACAGGGTGGCAGAGAAGATGCAGCCAGACCCATTTCAGAAGTGGACAGTGAAGGGACAGGAGACCGCAGGCACAAGCTTCCATGATGGACATTCTTGTCACATGCAAAGAAAAACCTCTGCCCCAGAGGATGCTGCAGCCCTGGGTCAGGGCCCACAGGGAAAGGGGGGCTCCATTATTCCCACGCGCCTGGCCCTGGCTGTGGGGTGCCTTGGGGCAGGTGTTGGGGCTCCCAGCCCAGCTCTGACTATGCCTACCTAGCCGCGGCTCACAATTCATTGCCTTTACTGTGGACAAGAGTGGCAGCACAAGCAATGCGGCCAGGCTGGTTCTCCTTCTGACTGCTGTTACAGTTTGAGAGACCCATAACAATTTGTTGTCGCTTAGACAATCATTCTATCACCCGATGACCCCTCCCCACCCAGGAAGGGGAATTGGGAAAAACAAGGAAACCTGGGAGCTGAAGTATAAACAGATTTAATAGAATAAGATTAGATAATTAACATCTAAGATAATTAACAGCACTAAAGAACTGATATTGATCCTGACACCAATACAGAATATGCAAAGATTATACTCAGCCAATTATATCAGTAGGAAGCTGTGCACTCCCAGCAGTGGACAGCAAATGTCGGACACTGTAAGTGCTACAGCTTCAGGGGGAGGGGAAGGCCTCAGGAGTTCGGCACCAGGGCACAAAGTTCTCAGGATGGCAGCCATCAAGGGAGAGAGAGAACTTTGCAGCAAACTTTCTAATTTATAGTGAATGTGACCTTGATGGTATGAAATCCTGTTGGCCAGCTTGGGTCAAGTGCCCGGGTCTTGCTCCTCATCCCCACACCTGGTGAGTTCGAAAACACTGAGACCTTGAGACCCACACACCATAGCTGGCTGTAAAGTAAATATTTTCACAAATTCAGACACTGGAGTCTTCTAAAAGTGCAGTTTTCCCAAGTATTAGAATAGAAATTAGTCCTGTGTCACTCAAACCAGGACACTGCCCAGCTATTTTTTTCTCACAACGGCAGCTTTCTCTGCAACGGCTCCCACATCTCCGGCCCTGAGCTAGCAGCGAGTCAATATGTCCCTGTGTGCATTGCTGCACAGCGTGGGCAAAGTGCCCAGCTCTGGATACCCCCGCCCCAGCTGCCATTGGTACCGTGGGTGCTGAGGTAGGGCCCGCAGCTCTGTGCCTCAGGGCATAAGAAGCCAGTGAGTTCCTGGGGCGCCCGCACCCAGACACATTGCATTGCTGTGCCACAGCCCCACTGCCAGCAGGGAAGTGAGAGGGGCCAGGGGATACTGGGGCAGGTGCTTGGCTGATGGAGGCAGGCTGCTGCCATGGCAGGGGTGGTGTGGGGGTACCATTGCAGCTCTGAGCTCTGCCACTATAGCAGAGGCCAGTGGGGAGCTGAAACACTCCTCAGCCTTGCAGACTGGAAGCAGGCAGTGCTGCTGGCAGCTAGCTCAGCCTGGTGCAGGCAGGTCAAAAGCATGCAAAGAGCTGTTAGGAAACATGCATGAAGTGCTCCAGGAATATTTCCTACCTGATGGGAAACAGTCTCGCCGTTTGGACACCAAGTGCTGCACGGGGGAGGGCATCAGCTTGAGAGTCAGGCCGTGGGATGAGATTCAGTGCCTTCGGCATTGGCCCTTGTGGTGGTGAAACGGCAGCCAGGCCACAGGACAGGAGACATTTATCCATGGGGTATGAAGCCAGACAATAAGGCTTTCCCCCTTCCCCACAGCATCAGTGTATTCAACAGCTTTTGGGAAGGTGGTTTTGCATCTCTCCCTTTTTGATCAGAGTCTCTTTGGTTTGTCCGTTTATGAAATCTGCAGGAAACACTGCAATCCCAATTATTAACATTCCCAAGAGGGAATTCCCATTCCCAGATCTAGCACAGGAGGATGGAGGTTAGAGGAGATGTGCTTATTTTGTCCTACTGGCACTCATCAAAACCGGTTCCTGCCTTTGTTCCCCTGACTACTCAGTTGGAGACAGTCCTGCAGTCAAGAAAGGCAGAGGTGAGAGTGCCTGTGACAAGAGGGTACAGCAAAACCTTTCTGAAGCTCCATGTGCAGAAACGAAACCCGTGCCTGCCCCTCCCAAGCACAGAGAACAAAGCAATGGGTTAAGCAGCAGGAACCAAAGAAGAGGTGAAGTGACAACATGCCGCCTGCAGGCCAGGTTGGCACACATGGAAAAGGCAGGAGCACCTTGCTGGAAGCCACCAGGGCTTTGCAGCTTCTCCTTGTTTTCTCTCCTACACTCTGCCCACACAGAGACTCAAGGTGCCAAACCCACATCACTCCCAAGGGATGTGTTGGTTCCTGGCATGCACCAGTTCTTTACTGGGCACTCCTTGCATTGTGGTTCTCCTCACCTCGAGAGCTCCCAGTGGAAGGCCCAAGGTCTCTTGGGATCTTCCTCCCTGAAGTGAGAGCTGCTAGCGGTGCTTTTCAGCAGCATGTTTTGAGTGTGGGCTCCAGCATTGTTGACATGTCGGGGGAGCCCTGGGGTGGCCGCACTTGCAAAGCAAAAGGCATCGCTGGAGCTTGCCCAGGCTAACACACCCATCACTCTCTCAGACCTCAGGGCCATGCTGTGACCATGTCTGAGCTGGAGAAGGCCATGATCACCATCATTGATGCCTTCCACCAGTACTCAGGGAAGAAGGGAGACAAGCACAAACTGAAAAAATCAGAACTGAAGGAGCTCCTTAACAACAAGGTGACTCATTTCCTCTGCTTAAGTATCACCCTCTGCGCAGCATGCCCAGCTAGGTTCAGGAAACCATGTCAAGCAGCTGCTGGGCTCCGCTAACTCCATCTCCCACTGGAAGCAAGCACAGGGGAAGTGTTTGGTTTTTTTTTTTACACAGCAGTGCATTAAACGCTGCTCCAGCTCTGCAGGAGCAGCAGGTGGCAGGACAAGGGCAACAGCCTGGGTGGGAGGTTGGTATTTGCATTGGATACTAGAGAAATTTCCTTCCCTGGGAAGGGGGGACAGCCTTGCCCCAGGAGGCTCAGGTTGCCCCTTCCCAGCGGAACAGCTATGGCTGTGACTCCTACTTCAGGCGGGCCGTTGTTGTGCAGATGCTGCTGCAAGGCACACAACAGTGCCCCAGCACAGTCAGGAAAGAGCAACAAGCTATTTGGGATGTGCCTGAATAGAGATTCAGCTATAAGAGCACCCGAGAAGCAGGGACATGTTACTGTCTGGGCCGTGTTCTGATCCTCTTCTGCTTTGGCTGCCTGTTTCTATCCCTTCAGGAGATCAAAGACCAGGAGACTGTGGACAAAGTCATGGAGGCTCTGGACAGCGATGGGGATGCAGAGTGTGACTTCCAGGAGTTTGTAGCCTTCATTGCGATGGTCACTGCTGCTTGCAAGGAGTTCTTTGAGCATAAGTGAGCTGGTGGGAAGCAGGTGAGCACATCCTGCTCATGCTGGAGAGATGCAGAGCAGCATCACTCCTCTGGGAAAAAAGACTGGGTGCAATCAGGGGGTCCTTGGAGGTAGACTTAAGCAGCTTATTAAGTTCTGCGGCTTTGTGAACAAGAAACATCTGCACAGCTCAGGAAAGCCTGTTGGCCAGTGCTCACCTGGTTGGATGCGGTGTGTGAATGCCTTGTCTCAAGCTCCTTCCCTGCTGCTGTATGCAAGGGATATGCATGGGGCTAGAGGCAGGTGGATGCTGCTATCCAAGCTTGCTTGCAAAGAGAAAAGGGAAATTCAAAGGCTGAAGTAGGAGATGATGCAGAGGGGCTGGTTACAGAAGTGTGATTCTGAGCCCACTGCTCTGAATGGAAAAGCTTCCATTGATTCCTGTGTGCTCTGACCGCCCTATGCATGGTAGTAACTCAGGCTGCACAGCCCTTGTCCTGTCACAGGGGCTTTGCACAGCCCATGCATTTCTTGGTAAACTGAGACACCCTTGGCTTGAAAGGCAAAGCAATAACCATCTAACAGCCCAGGCTTTTCTCTTGTTGATGAATCCTTCTGCTTTTAGTGGCCTGCAGAACTGGAATTGAAAGCATATCGGGCTCGTGGGCTGGGGACAGCTTCTGGGCCTGGGATGTGCCTTGGCAAGGTCTCCAGGCTCAGTGAGAAGGGACGGCGGAAATCTGCCCAGTGTGACCACAGTGCTTTAACATAAACCAGGCACAGCCTCTGGAGTGTGTGGAAACAGTGACAATAAAATGTTGTTTCAGTCTCTGGGCAGCAATTAGTCTCAGGTGAAAAATGTATCTTTTTGTCCCAGGCTGCGTGCAGCTCCCTGGCTGCCGTTCACTGTCAGAGGGGAAGGCTGGAGGACGCAGACTGAAGCACTGCTACCGCTCACACCCTGGGGTTTCTTGTTGGGCCTTCATCTCCTCCCTGGCATCACTGTGGCTGGCCAAACAGCTCAAGGCTGTCGCCACACCACACTCCACCTGGTTGTCCAAATTGGCAGATGTACCAGCGAGTCCAAAGGAGCACAATGCACCTCCCTGGGACTGCTGCTGTTCTAGATGCTGCCAGGGTCATCCAGGGACTTCCACTGGTGAGCCTTACAAAGCCAAAACTAAAACCCTTCCCAAAGCCTATGCTCCCGCCTTTTTCAGTCTGCACTTGCTGTTCAGCTCAGCAATACCTGTGAGTTAGGCATTCATGGCTAGCAACATCTATAGCAACAAATTCATGACAAAGATGGCTGCAGATGTTGTTGTTTTTACCTCATTCCACGTTTCATAATGATTTCATGTGCAAAATGACATGTCTTCAGACAGGAGCCATCTTGGTATTCTTATCTGCCTCCCCAAAGCTGTGAAAGGGGACACTCAGGTAGAGACATGCATACAAGAAAGACAACATCTTGTACTCCCTCTAGAATTAAAAAAAGCACTTTCGTCATCCTAGGGTAGCGCTCATTTGTTGAGAACTTGTTTAGCATCCAAGTTACTGTCACCACATTTTTAACATCCTCATCAGTTCTCAGTTCAGCTGTTTCCAGCACCTGTATGGCACTTGATGCAGCATGTGAGGACAATGAATGGGGACACAGTCTGTCCCAGCGTTCCCAAGGTTAGTCAGGGTAGATGGGACTCTCATGACCCTCTCTCGGGCCTGAACCTGAGTTCAGTCTGATGCTTCAGCACAAGGGCCTGTTGGTGAGGCTGTCTGGCAGGTCTCCAAGTTCCACCTGCTTTGTGCCTCACCGCACCAGCAGTGCTCACATGGATGAGGAATTCTTCCCCAAGACTGAGCCTTTTCAGCAGCTCTGCACAGCATCACAGCAGCAAAGAGCTGTAGGTGTTAACATGTGGCTTGAATGCTGGCAGAGCCAGTGAGCCACAGAGCAGGCTGTCCTGTCCCTTGGCGAGCAACGACAGCAGGAGCAGGGAGTGACGCAGTATGACTGTGCACGTTTCTGGCAGTAAAGCTGGTCCTGACATAGCAACACCACTTCTGGGAATTCACAGAGGCATCACCTGGCACAGGAGAAGGCATAGCAGAGCTGGTGCCTCTTGTCAGGGAGTAAGAGAGCGTGTCTTCCTTTGAGGTGAGCACCCTGACTGCCAGTGGTGCAGTACGCAGTCCTCAGGCTACTGAGCCCTGGATGCTCCTCCCCAGTCAGCAAGGAAAGCAGAGCTTTCCTGAAGTGAAATTCCTGAAACACAGACTGCATGGTCACAGGCCTCAGCACCAGCCAGTCTGCACTGCAGCTCGGCTCCCATTGTGTCCTGCTGCTCTCTACACAGGCAGTGCCTCAGCTGAGACCGCAGATTGTGGGGATAGCTGCACACTGGTGTGATGGGGGAGGCAGGCAAAGCAGTTTGGGCAACACTCGCCCAAGGACATAGCATTAGGTGCCTCTGCTGACACCTCAGCACTGCTGATCCCTCCTGCACACTGCCCCCTCGAACGCACAGACACAGCCACAGCTAGCTACCCTCTGCTAACACCCTGAGTCCCCACAGACTCCTGGGTGCAGCCTAGAAAAAGGATCCTGCTGTGCCAACAAGGGGTTTGAGTAGTGCTGTGAGGGCCTCAGAAGCCTGGCAAGGCTTTCTGTGGAAAAAAAGAAAATCACTCAAGCCTTGGGGGTGACCAAGGAGCAGGTGTCAGAGCTTTACAAGGTAGACTTCACAGCTGGCTCTGAAGGAGGCTCAAAATGCTTAAGCAACTCACTCACCTCCCAGCAACGACAGGCTAGATACTTAAAAGTGCCAGTCCTATCAAGACTGGTTTTCAGGCTTTGGTGGGGATAGTTCACTTTTCAGGAAGGGAAGGTCGTAAGCTAATGACATTATTAAATAATTTTTAGTTATGCCCCCGTCCCAGTCAACAGAATCAGCCTGCTGGTTACTTGAGATGTGTGTGCTCTTACAGTACCTCATTGGCATTGGTTAGATTGATCCGACATTGCATCAATCCCAGGAGAGCTCAGAAAATCCACATTTTTGTCATTAGTGGAGACTGTGATGAACTGCAGAAAGGCTGATTTGGTAACATGGAGCTCTGGGGTCTGCACCGTGGGACCCTCAGGGCCCTTGAAGGCTCCCTGAGAATGAAATGGCAGCATTACACTAGCAGTGCCTACCTGATGCTTGGACATATTTGTCAGTTATGCTTTTGACTCTCTCTAGAAGAGGATGCAAGCAAATTTCCCACCAGGAAGAGCACCAACAGAAGATCACCAATGGATGGCTTCATATATTAAATGCCCTGTCAAGACAAGATCTACTTATCAACAATACTAAAAGTGAAACAAAAAAAAGAAAGTACACCAACAGGAGGAGCTTGAGAAAAATGTCTCAAATTAAATGTCTCAACAGACTCAAATTAACTTTGCAAACTAGAAAAGTGGCAGAGTGTTGAAATACATTTTCAAAATTTAAAATGCTGCCATTACTTTTTGCTCTGGGAGATTAGAATTTGGGCTTTTACTCTCTCCACAGATAATTTTAGGTGAAATACACCTGTGAAAGGGAACCCTCTCTCTGGATCAGACACAAAATTACCAGCACTGGAAGAGCACTTACAGACCCCGACAAAAACATTCTTCCACATAGGATCTAATCTTACTGGGAGTGCTGATTATTGCTGTTAGCACGTGTAAAAAAAATATTCTTCATCTTGTTAACTGCAGATGGAAGTGCATTCACGCTGAGTCATTCAATAGCAGAGTTCATCGGCTGACAGCAAGAAAAACAATTTATCTTCAAAAAGAAAAACAAAATACGCTTTTTCCACAAATCAAATGCGGACTTTTACAGACCCTAGAGAAGGAACATTGTGACCTTGTTGGACAGAGTAAAGTAATTGTGTAAACAAAGCACTGTGCTGCTAGGCCACATCTCCCATGCATTCAAAACTCTGTGTTGCAAGCTGTGATGGCACTCAGAGGTGCTCCTCCATCCTGGCAGTCTAGTGACATGGAAGCACGTTCCTGCTCCCTCTGTACATTACACTGAAACATATATTTCAAAAGAAAGCAGCAGCATTTCTGTGAGTGATCCATGGATTGAATTTGTTCCCCCTACCAGATATTAAATCTAAAGGATTTGCCTGGCCTTAATTCCTGTACTGCAACAGTCAGGGCATTAGAGCATATTTTCAGTTTTTCCGTTCTGAAATACACTGGAAATTTCAGACACTGAATTTTACTGTACAAAGTCTAAGTTCATCCTGCATCCCGAACAGTGCTGACTTCCAGGGTGAAGGCAGGAAACTACAAGAGCAAAACTGGAAGCTTTTTAAACAAAATGAAATAAAACACCTCCAAAACTACTAAGGAGCGACATAAAACTGATCTTTAAAAGGCCACTTTTATATTTTCTTGCAACTGAAATTTTGATTGTACATGTAGGCATGCCACATTACAAGTACAGACACAACCATCATGGCACCGTTGTCCATGTCTGGCAAAGAAAAATACCCAAAGTAAATCATTATTTTGCAGTTACCTTTGCAAGCTAAAAGTTTTAAGGAATGCTAGAAAATTAGCAAATGTTTTTCACTTTCATAAGTAAACTTTTATATTTAGGTGAGAACAGGATTAAAAAAAATGACTGGAGGAAAAGATAGTGGTGTATATTATTTTAATAACATGAATTGAAATACAAAAAAAGATAGAACTCTGCTTATGTGGCACTGGCATAACCAAACTGGAAATAAAATCGAATGTGTCTATTTCCTCCTAAACAACATGATTGGTCACAAAACAAAATCTAAAGACTGTAGCAAAAATTTACATTAGAATCTGCCATGACAAGAAACTCTGGCTTACAAACATCTAATTTGACATGTCTGACCATGTAAATATTTAAAGTATATTAACCACCTGAATATAAACATCCGTTCAGCAGTAAGGGTTATATCTTAGTATACCCAGCATCAAGTAAATCTTGAAGTGCAAAAAGTTAGAC